ACACAAATATTTAAAGGGTATGCATATATGTTCTTGTGTCTGTGAAAAGACAATACCCATGCTAACATCAAACCCTAGACTCCTGTGCATTTCTGTTACCTCTTGTGTTAATGGCGCTGGTGCAGTCTGTGATCAGAAGACTTCCAAATTCTTTGTATCCCACCAGAAAGAATCCATGGCAGGACACGTGAATGTGAAGGGAGGTTATCAAAACTTAGGGAAGAGAAATACAAAGGGAAGCATGGTGGGGCCCAGAGAGAAGCCGGAAGCCAAGAGAGTGTGTTTCTGCTCTTCAGGTGATTAAAAAACCTACAATAACGTATGGGAAGGAGAGAATCATGTGATTCTCATACAATAATCACTGAGTAGGGAAGAGCATGGCGGTTTCCAGCCAAGCGAGGGTGGTTCCTGAGCCAAAGCCTGGTTAATCTAAGATGTAGTATTTTTTTTTTTTTCCATGAGTCCTGAATGTTCCCTACTTAGCCTGCCTCACTTGCATGTCATAACCTAAGCATTTCTCTTATGCACAACCCTGGGGCAACTGGGCACAAACATTTCTTTGGGTTTAGTGCCACCAGGGAGATCACTGGAATGTGGGTACTTTCACCAAAGCATCTCGTCCATCATCCCTCTCAGGGCCTTGTGCTTGCTAGGTAGACACTCTACCACTTGAACCACTCTGTCAGTCCTGTTTTGTGTTGGGTATTGTCAAGATAGGGTCTCATGAACTATTTGCCTGGGCTGGCTTCGAATCGTGATCCTCCTGATCTCTGCCTCCCGAGTAGCTAGGATTACAGGCGTGAGCCACAGACACCCTGCTTTTCTATTTCTGTTCCCTCTCTCCTTTCCCTCATGTGAGTTTGGAGAGCACAAATGTGTTTATGCCTGATCAACTCCCAGAAAATATGTTATTTTCCTCTGTCACCATCTTGTCTTTTTAGCAGCTCACATCCTGCACTTTTACTCTGCGCAACAGCAAGAGAGAGCAATTATTCAAGGGAATTTTCCTCTTGCTCTTACAACTACTTTATCCCGTGACTAGCCCTGTCTCTTGCCTTGGTAGGATTGCTGGTGCATGTGACACCGCCAGGGACATCAGTTTGCTTAACTTTCAGTGAGCTGCTTCTGCTCTGGGAAGTCAATGCTAGTGCTGATTGGTGCTTATTCTGTGACTGCCACCCTGGTTCACTGTGGAACTGGGCAGAAGCCATTTTTCTCAAGTAGGGGGAGGGTTTTCCCACTGTTTGTGTCATACTTTGTTAATCAAGTTCCAAAGTAGTGCTACCGCTCAGTGTTTCGTAGAGATTTTGGTTTGAAGGAATTTGTTAGTTTTTCTTTGAATACCTTTTGTTTCCAGGAATTAGAAATTCAAACACTGGGGTTGGCAGAAGTATTTCTATTACAGACACCCTGGAACACTGCTCTGAATCTCTGCCTTAAATTGTCACCTTTCCTTAGGGGGACTTTTTGTTCAGGAAATAGCTCGGTTTCTACTCAGATACATGTCTGCTAAATTAAACCTATCGTGTCCTCACTATACCTAGACATGTCTGAATTCTGAGGAGACTGAGCTTGGGCTCAGGTTGGTGTCCTCACCACTCTTTTGTTTTTATGATCACTGCCTTACACCATTCCATCTCCATTTTCATTGAATAATTCAATGCTCTGCCTATGCATCCATCGATTATCTCTCTATTAAAGCTGACACGGCTCAAAAACAAGGATTGGCTTTGAAAAGTTCATCCATGGTGTTACACAGACATATGCTTTTCTTGGATTCTTTAATTATGCAGGCTTCTTTAATTAGGTTTCTTTAATTATACAGTTTTAATGACTAAGCATTACTGTACACTTAACAAAATTCAAAATGTACAAATCAATTCTCATAAATAATTTACTGTTTTCATACATGTAATATAGTCAGTCAGCATTCAAACAAAAACAACTGTTGGATCATTCAGATAGTTTAACCAAAATAATCAATGTAGGTTTATTGTGTCTGAGTTGTAAATCAAGTAGTCAGTGTTCCTCCGATGTAGCACAAGACCACAAGGGTAACTGAGCAAGCAGGAACTCATGGAATCTTAATAGGCAGCTCACTGCTGAAGGAAACCAAGAGGAAACTTAATAACATTAAAAGTTATTTTAAAGGGAGTTCACATTGATTGGAAGGGTACTTTGTTCATATATAATATCTACCTTTGTGAAACCCAAGAAACCTGTTTCTAACATATATCTTTACAGATTTCAGAACATAAATCTTTAGAGCAGTATTATTTCTCTACAGATAAAAATTAAAATATTGAGAGGTTTTGGAATAAGAAAGAAAGGAAACTGTCCTGTACACCAAAGGAAACTTGGAGCTTTGGGGTAAGAGCTTATTTAGCTATAAAAGGGCCAGTGTGTGTTGTAATGAGCGGAAAACTGATTTTACTACATTCACGAATATCTCACAGAGACCAATTTCAGTATTAGAAAGATCATATATTAAAAGTGCTTTCTGCAGTCATCATTGTATACAACTTAAAATTTAGCTCCCATTAAATTAATACTTCATTAAAATATCAAAATAAAAACTTCAACAAATACTTTTTTTTCTGTACTCTAAGACAGAAAAAAAATATGAAGGACAGATTGCCAGTTATTCTATTCCATAACAGTGAAATTTCTCAGTTATTTTTTTCCCCTTTCTTTTGCTGAGTTCTCTGTCACTGGAAACATCTTAAACCAATTTCAAGGGCTACACCTGAATAAACATGTTGTAAAAGTGTTTATGTATTGAAGTGGGTCAGTTCAAGGTATGGTATTTGGCTGGAACTTCTAATTTCTCTTTTTACAGCAAAAGGACTGCCAGAAGGAGGAAGTCTGAGCTGAATTAATACATTTGTTACAGTGGAAGTAGAATGGAAACTGCTCTGACCACAAATCAAACTGCCCCTTTCATTTATGCCAGTGATAGAGTTTTTCTAAGAAATATAGACTCTGGCATAGAGCCACTGTAAGTTTGCATTTAAAAGAGAAACCCGTGTGCTTATTTGTTCAAGGTTTACTGCTTTGGTTATCTGTAAGTCCTTTCTCTGGTAGAACTGAGTGCAGTGGCATTTGTGAGGCAGAAGGACATTTTAGTGTTTGTATGAAGTACACAAGTTTGTCCAGATGGTGTAGAACCATCATTGAAGACACCTATCCTACACAGATTGGTGCAGGCTTTCTTTTTAAAACCAGTATCTCCACATTTAAAGGACCTCTGCGTCTCCACCAACAGCTGCACAGCCTCACACAACACTCATTTTCTGATGGTAGAAGGTTTCTGCACAACGCAAGTGTACACCAAAGTGTTTATGCTGTCAAAATAAATTTTGTTAAGAGCAAGGGCTCATTTACTAGAATGCTGTCGATGCTGTTTCAGAGACTTGTGTTCCTTTTCTTTCTTGTAAGGTGGGTGAGGTCTTGTAATGGACTGAGGTTGCTTTGCAGTGCAGTCTTTACTGAATAAATATTTTAAGAAATCATACATATTTCTCAGGGGGCAAGCCAAAGTCAATTGTGCACACTTAAAACACATTATATAGTACCCAGCAGGATCAACAACTTCTGTATCTAGAGTAGTATGTTTTGCATAAGTCTTGAGTAATTCTCCACTAAATTAATAAGTTAAGATTGAATAGTTTGCCCTCTTTGCGTGATTTTCATGGATCCCCATATAAATCAATGGTTTTCTTTGTGTATATAGCTATGTATTATTTAAATATCTATGTATACAAAAATTCTTTTATGTATGATATATGCAATAAATATGTTAGAAACATATATTTACATTTTGTCCATATTATCTAAGCATACAGTCATCTATAACATACATTAATATAATATTTGTTTATATAATTTTCAGTGACAATTACTTTAAAGTAGAAGAACCTAATAAAAATGAGTTATAAAGGGTTAACATCATAGTACCTGACGTTTATGGTATCTGTGGACACAGTGCATGGAAAACACCTAGCGAACTTCCTAGCATGTACATAGCAAGCTGTCCAATAACTGACATGATTATAATTATGAAGATTATTATTTCACCCAGGGGAGGGATATTTTGTCAATATCCGTTTCTTGACTTCTAACACACTCCTCTCTAGGCTCGTTTATACGAGCACATATATAAATGCACAGTCACATTTATGGGCTAATAGGGTTCTAAGATGTAGGCTAGCTGAGAAGTGAAGATGAGTCTCCAAGTTTACCTGCATTGTTTATTCTTTTCTGAGACTCTCTAGGTTTGGTTTCCTCTACTAAAATCTTCTCTGTAAACAATCAGGTGTGTCAAAACTCAGGGACGAATTCTGAGATTTCTATATTTGTTTCAAAACACTCATTCAAAATTTCTCATTCATAATGAGAACGAAATGAACAGGAGCTCAAAACAAACCTCTATTACCCAGAAGGATCTTCTAGAATGACCTGTGAATTAATTCTTATCTTGATCTCACAGCTTCGCGAATTTTGCTGGGCACTGGCTAGAGGCAGAAGGGGAAAGGGCTATCAGCACTAATTAACACTTGACGGGCTGACACTACTGGAGAAAGTAGAAATACCTTCCAGGCATTCAGCTTTTATCACTTAGAGGAAAATGATGGGGGCATTTACTGCCGAAGAGCCTACAGCCAATTGTGGAATTGCTACTTAAAATGTGGACTTTTCCAGGCTGATGGTAGTCAAGGCATTCCATTATAATACTCTTCTTGACTCTAAGGTCTGAAAAGATATCAGTGAATAAAAGCAGGCAAAGGGCATGTTGCCTACGTGACCTAGCTATATTCTGTGTTGTAAAGTAAAAGAATAAGCATGGATATTTGTCTGTATGCTTACTATCACTTGGTCTGTAAAGAAAACATTCTGGTTATGCCTTCAAAGTTTTCCTTTTTTCAAAGTCCTCTCCAAATTCACTCATGTCAGGTAAACTTTGTTTTTCATAAACCAAGTGGTAGTGTACTATGTTCCAGGACGCAGTATCAACGTAAAATCTGCTGGTCTCGTGGGAAGACATGGGCCTCAGTCAAAACAACCGTTCATGGTGGCTTTCTTCAAGGCAAGTGAGGTACTTCTTCGATCTGTGAGAGCAGCCAACAAACGGAAAAACCAAAACCGCAATAAATCCAGCTCTCATCAAGACTCTTCTAGGATGTCCAGTGTTGGAGGTAAGATAAAATGAGAGAGGCAGTTGTGTTCAGAGTTATGGGATCAGATGTTGCAAATCTAGTGGCCACAATAAACGTACCCTCTCCATCTACCTTCATCTGCTATATTAAATCTTCCAGTGATGTTTCTAGCATCCCTAGAACATTTCATCAGTGAATCACTCAATAATTCATTGCAAAGTAAGTCTGACTCGCCTTCGTATGTTGAAAGATTCAGTTTAAATTAAAATCAAGCTGGCAGTAATAAAATTATGACATGGCTAGGTCAACAAAGTCTAGCCGGAGCTAAACGACACAACCTGCTGAGCTAACGTCCCCAGGGCCTCTCAAATCTGAATGGTCAACCACGTACATTCAGCATAAAATTCTTTCTTTAGTAGTTAAATGTGAGTTGTGCAGCTTAAGTTCTTTCTGAAAACAGGAGCAGACTAGACTGGATGAGAGTTACGGTCGTATTTACACTTGCATTAATTATTTGCAGAGTTATTATCTGGGTGCTCTACTTTGTGTACACGTAAAATCCCTCAGCAAGATCTTCCAAATGCACCTGGATTTCAATGTGCTTGGAATTTAGTCTGTTTCTTCATAGAAAAATAGATAAAATTGCAAGTGATCAGGAAGTACATCGCTGCCAGAATCTGCGGTGACTTAATCGTAGTATTTATACTCAGAAGAACCGTGTTTATTTCCGGCCATAAACATGTTTTAATAAACCATTCTCAGACAAAATTTATGGCCATTTCACTGCAAGAAATTATTTTTACCTTTGAAAAATAAATTTGGAGGCGGTCTCATCCCAGAATATCCCAATTTAGTGTAATGTGTTTGTTTTTGTACAATATATGTTCTTCTGTGTTAATGGTCACCAGAGATAGAGTATCCCTCCAGACACAACGGATGAATGAGTGCTCAAAAAAGATATGATTCTTGCAAGCTATGTTTCAGCAAATTAGTATTCTAATTTCAAATGGCCTTTGATATTATTTCTAAATTCTTCATTTTTTTCTTGGCTTACTTGAAAATGACATATGCGCTAGCAAACTACTTATTACTTAAGCATGCATGAGTGTTTAGAAAAGAAATGGATGGTTTGCATCTTAGATTCTCAACAAAAAAACCAAGTGGAATTTGTTGGAGCCTTCCCCCAAGAGTATAGACACTGAGGTAATGATGATACAAAGAAGTCTTTGGGTGTATCTAGCACCAGAGGAAGGAGGGAAGAGCTCTGGGGTTGTATTACACCGAAATAAATGCTGCATGCAAAGTAATGTTTCAAAATAATTGCCTACCAAAGGCATTTAGCCACCTTTTTCACTGGAAAGCAAAACATGCCATTACAAAGCCATTTTGTAAAGATCTTCACAAGATATTTAGTTTGGCGAAAAGTTATAATTGCTTAAAATGAAGATGGAGAAAAATAACTTTCTAAGACCTTTCCTTCCTTGTAAATACTAGCCTGTCAAAATTGTATATTTTTCTTTTCATGTAGAATGGCTCTGAATCTGGCTGAAATGTTTTTAATTTAATGTAGCAGACTGCATTAAGAAAAGGGTCTGCTATACTTTGAATAGGATGGTAATTTTTTTTTTAAGGAAAATACAAAGGGAAAAGTGTAAGTCACATACTTATTACTAGAGCTCATAATTACTCTGGCAGAGGCCACCCAACAACTGCAGTCATCAAAGTCCTGTTCTCCATTGGCTTGCTCTATTTATCTTCTTTTGCTGAACACAAGTAACAACTGCACGTCTATATCTATAGATGAATAAAACACATGGAGCCAACATCATGGAGCTTTCACCAGTTTCCTAGCACCATTTAGAGTATGAAATTATTCTACTATGGACCAATACTTTCTTCCGAGAAGTTTGTCATTGGCAACCCTTTCTGTGAAATGTGTGGTCAATGGCTTTGGAGAGTGTTCAGATTTTGATAATAAGAAGAAAGAAAGTAGCTGGTTTGTGTCTATGAGACTTAACCTTTAAGTGGGTAGTAATCAAGCAGACTGGGAAAAGCCTCATAGGATTTGGCCTGAAAGACAGGGGTTGAAGGAAAGGGAACGCTACTATAAACAGAAAATTTGATACTTAGGAGACTTGGACTGCCAGCAAATTTAAAAATTATTCAAATATAAATAGCCTGGCTATGATAGTGCCAGGCTTTTATGATAAAATATTGGGCAGTGGCTTCCTGGCTAAGAAGGGGTGGAGGATGGGAGTTAGGAAAGAGAGTTGTGTTAGATGCTTGCCTGATTGCATCTTTCAATGCAAAGCATGCCATCAAGTGTTAAAAACCTGAAATAGTGCAGAAGGCAGGAGAATTAAAACACAGGTCATTCTTCCTCTTTTTACACATTTTTGACCCATTTCAAAGATTCCTGTGCAGGTCATGGAGGCTCACACTTGTAGTAATTCCAGCACTCAGGAGGCTGAGAAAGGAGAATCCTGAAATTCAAGGCCAGGCTGAGCTGCATGGCAAGGCCCTGTCTCAACATCACTCACCCAAGAAAGAAAAATACATTATATTATTAAATAGTAATATTAAAATATGTTATATGCCTATGACTTCTCAATGCCTTTTTCTATGTCTTGCTAGACATGTCTAGCAAGAAGTGGGAACTCTCCAAATATCTGAATCGATTAATGTGTTGATTGATGGCAGGGGTGAGAAGGATCACCTTCTTCTTTCAAGTGAATATAATAGGACCTTTGCTCCCAAGTTTTCTGCAGAAGCTGTTCCCACCCCCCACTGTTCCACTTCAGGATTTTGGCTAGAAGGTTACACAGGTACCCAGTGGGCGAGGTTGTCTGTTTCACGTTGAAGCTGTGCAATGCACAATGGACGTTTGCTTGAAATTTGGAAGTTTAAGGGAAGGAAATGAAGGTAATAGCTTAGTATTAAGCTAGTCACTCTTTACGATATAAAGGCAGTTGTTATATAATTACAACATATATGTCAATATATAAATCTATCTATCTATCCTTCTATCTGTCTCTCTGTCTATCTATCTATCTATCTATCTATCTATCATCTATCTATCTATCTATCTATCATCTATCTATCTATCTATCTATCTATCTATCTGTCTATCTATCTATCTATCTATCTATCCATCTATCTATCTATCTGTCTGTCTATCTATCTATCTATCTATCCATCTATCTATCTATCTATCTATCTATCTATCTATCCTTCATCTGTCTGTCTATCTATCTGTCTATCTATCTATCTATCTATCATCTATCTATCTATCTATCCATCTATCTATCTATCTGTCTATCTATCTGTCTGTCTATCTATCTATCTATCTATCTATCATCTATCTATCTATCTATCCATCTATCTATCTATCTATCTATCTGTCTATCTATCTATCTATCTATCTGTCTATCTATCTATCATCTATCTATCTATCTATCATCTATCTATCTATCTATCTGTCTATCTATCTATCTATCTATCTATCTGTCTATCTATCTATCATCTATCTATCTATCTATCCATCTATCTATCTATCTATCTGTCTATCTATCTATCTATCTATCATCTATCTATCTATCTATCCATCTATCTATCATGTATCTGGCAGTACTGGGCTTTGAACTCAGTTCTTCATGCTTGCTGGACAGGTGATCTATCACTCGAGACAGCCTCCAGCCTTTTTTGCTCTGGTTATTTTGGAGATACAGTCTTGCTTTTTTGTCTAAGTCACCCTGGACTGTGATCCTATTTTACATTTCTTGCCATTGCTGGGATGACAAGTATGTGACACTCACATCCTGCTTTATTCCATTGAGATAGGGTCCTCATGAAACTTTTTTCCTGGGTCCGGGCTTGCCTGGAACTGTGATCCTCTTAATCTCAGCCTCTCAAGTAGGATTATGACTGGTTGGTAAGATTTTTAAAGATCCTACAAAACATGTTGCTACTCTAAAAGCTGTGTGAAATTCTGAAAAAAAAGTAGATTATTAATAATCAGTCAGAAGGTACAGGGAAAATGGCAAGTCCTGGCTCACTGCAGAAGTGCTAGAAAAGACTGCTTACTGTGTGCTCAGTACTAAGGATCCTCCAATGTGGCTGTAATCATATAGGGGCCCTGTCCAAAACCATGTGGTTTTTTCCATTCATATAGTTACCCTAATTTAAATGTCATGCACTTATTCTCAACTTTGATAGGCATTATCTCTCATGTCTAAGGGATGTAGTGCAAAAATGCATGTTTCTTGGAACAAGAGGTAATCATCAAAACAAGAAAATAGAATTAATTGGATTTTTCTTCAGGGTGTTTTATATAATATCAATATCCATTTTAGTATTTAAAAACAATAAAATAGTAAAAATATCTCTCTTGTTCACTTAATCCTTCCATGGTATTCTGTGATCACTTTGGTTTACTGATAATTAACCTGGTACATGTAATTCCAAATCTTTTCTTCTAAATACACATCTTTTCTGAGAGAACATATTTTTGTTATGCACTCTTAATTACACAAATGTCATATTTGATGCATTTAAAAATGTCTTAGTCATCATTCTAATGGAGGGATGTCATTGATTAAAATGTTGCAGCATTTAAACAGTACTAGGATCATTTTACTTCATTACATCACTTCTAACTGAAATTTTGCTTGTTTCCAAATTGGGGCGCTCCAAATCAATGCTGCACTGAAAACCTTACCCTGATCCACAGGTAAGAATATTTCTCATACAGCAATTAACGTTAGTCGCTGATATCATGCAAAATTTTGGAAGCCCTTCTTAAAGGAATTACTTTGGTGCATAAAATATGTAGTTAATTAGTTCTGTCTATTTGTACATTTAACTTCCTGTTATCTATCGCTTAGCACTGGCATCACCACCTACTAATTGTGTATTCTTGGATAAGACACAGGGGCTACTTTGAGAAAGAGTAGACATTTTCCGAAGTGGAAGATGGGTTAAACAGTTTTAGACTGATGTGACTGTTATGGCATCATTTAGCAGTGTGGAATGGCTGGGCTATTCAAGGATTCTTTGTAAGATGACTGTGACATCAGCTAGGAAATTATGCAGGACCCAATCACAAAGAATACGACTTAAGAGTCAGAGAAGTAAGAGGAGAGCAGGAATGAAGACTTTTCCTAGGATTCAAAGTTAGCAGAAGAAGATATTGAGAAGTAGGAGGGAACCAACCAAGAGTGCAAAGGGCTTCCAAGAGGCTCTTGAGACAGAATGCCGAAGTGGGTCAAGTAACGGGACTTTGTGAACCTCCTCAATAAGATCCAAAGGAGAAGAAAGAAAATCAAGAAACAGTAAATTTTCTGGCATGGACCACTGTTTTCTGGCATGGACCACATGCTGACTGTTGATCCTGCTAACATCAAAACAGTGTGCAATTGGAGGTGGAAATAGTAAGAGGTATTTGAGAAAGTTTTCTTTAGAGATGGAAGCTAAAGTTTTTGGATACTTTTTAATATCAATGGGGGCTGTAAGGTTCAGGCATTAGTTGAGTTATTTCCATGGATGTTTTGCTGCACAGAATTAAGAAAACACATCAGATACTACTATGTGGTATCTGCTTTGTATTACACATATTTTTGTAGACAAACACAGATATCCCTACCCAAACAAATAGCACAGTTCTTTCTGGGTTGTGCCTGTATTCAGGTGGGTACTCTGTGGGTATGGAAAATGAGTGCTAAAATAGAGTAGCAATAGTTTTTTTAAATCTCTGTCTTTCAGTGAGATTGCTATTTATTTTGGAGTTTATCACAAATTTCTCTACCCTCTAGGCCAAATCAAATTTATATTATTGAATTGTCTGCTACAGTACATCCCTGCTTTTTTTTTCCCTGGCACTGGGGATTGAACCCGTGGCTTCACACTTGCTAGGCAAGCACTCTACTATGTCCCCAGTCCTTTGTATTTTGTCTTTGAGATAGGGTCTCGCTAACTTGGCCAGGCTGGCTTTTAACGCTAGATCCTTTTATGTCCCTCCTGAATAGTTGCTGCTACATGCATACACCACCTCGCCTGGCTCTCTTTGTACCTCTTAAACACTCATTCATCATTTTCCATTTTCTGTGAATAAATTAATGTTTTCTGTCTTCATGCTACAGGTTCTGATTTCTTTTTACTCCTTTTCCTTTTAGGGACCAAGAATGAAAAAGCTAAAACTTTCTTCTTTGCTTTGAAACACCATATTTGCCTCATCTAAGTTGTCATGCACAAATGTTAAATTCTGTTTTGTTATACAGATGTCCGGCTATGTATCTATCTCACCACTTAAGTAAGCTAGTGCCATATTAAAAATGATACATGGGTACATGAGTCTTGGCCAAACTAGTCATTTTTCCTCATCTCACTGCTAGGCTAGCCTGTGTTCATTTGCTTTTTCAGGAACTAGTATGCAAACTATTGAAAGTCTAAGTAGATCTCAGGATTTTTGTTACTAATTTTTACTTCCTTTTTCTTGTTTTTCATGATTTTCTAAGATAAAATAATATTTTAACATCAAACTTAAAAGGTTAAATTATACTCTTTCTGGAAATTAGGCATTAAAATTTGCATTAATATTTAATCATAGTTTTAATATTTTCCAATATTACTACTTTTAGGAGACAAAACAGAGGAGTACTATATTTATGACACCTCCATTATGGTTGAGGTATGTCAACATATTTTTTCTAGTGTTGACTGTGGCACCAGAAGATCGAAGTAATTTCTGGTATGACTTCATTTGTACACAAGTTCATCAGCAGTAGAATAATGTCCATTTCATTTTAATCTCCTAAGGGCTGCTAATCAATATTTTTAAAGATATAAATCTAATTTCCTTACCCTTCCTCCCTCAGCTTATTCTGCCAACCACATACAGCAAGCCTAACTGCAGATATTGCTGGTTTGGTACAATATTTACTTCACTCAGTATCCATTAATTTTTATTTCTGACAGAGTAAGCATATGGTCCCAACGCTTTATGAAATCAGACCCTTGGAACCAGATTCCATTATAAATTTCACTGCTCATTACCTTTATTCATACATCACTTAGCCTGCACGAAAGCTACAATGGTGGAACAGACATGTTTGGACTTTTAAGTTTTCTTTTCTTTCTTTTTTATAAGCATGGAATTCAAGTATCCATATATGTAGTTTAGGGCATTTCATGTACATTTGATTGCTTCATGTCCATTGCCTGAATAAAGTTAATTCTTTGTGTTATTATTTAGGTTCATGGTGAATTTTCCCTGAACAGCAAGAGTGCCAATTCTCAAACAATTCTATTTCCTTCATCTTCCATTATCTACTTATTTATTTTTTCAGCAAAAATAATTTCACAGTGGGAATAACTGATTTACAAGTAAGATAAAGATAAACCATCTTATGTTTAAAACTTATCTTGTTTTCTAGATTGACGTTAAACTCATGTTTATTTGAACTAAACATGAAAGGCAGACGAGAAGGACCTCCAAGATGGGCCTCTCTGATGTTCTCTTGCTTTCATCAGAGTTTGAATGATTAAGTTGGAAGGTGACCTGCCTTCACACAAACTTTCTTAGAAATAAATTCTTTTGGTCTGCCATGCTCCCTGCTTCATATTTCAGACTGGAAGTAATCAAAGTTGGTTATCTTTTTGAATATTATTTGTAGAAAAGTGAGAATAAATTCCAAAGAAGACAATACAGAGATGTGTTCTGTGAAGTCTGTATTTCATCAGTATTTTACTATGTCAGATGCAAGATCAGTGTTCTGCATTTATACCTAATCCTTTTAAACAGTTACAAAAATTATGAGTATTTCAGATTATATTCCAAAATATATAATGGTCAAATGCACTTCTTTTGTTTGAAATCATTTGTGGAACACTGAGAAATTTGTTCATCACCTCCTCAAATACTGACCAAATGTTTGTTGTGTATCAGGAACAGTTCCTGGCACTTGGGATGTGGCAGTGAGTCAAACAGATCCAAACAAGATCCTTCCTCTGGTGGACCTTACATTCCAATGGGGACAAAGGAGATAAGATACAATGCACAGAATGATATAACATTTCACAAAGTGAAATGGGGGAGAAAAAAATAGAACATAGTAAAATAGAAGGTGAAAGAAATCAAGGGTTTTAGGGTGAGAACTGCAATATTAAATATTGAAGTCAGTGGAAGCTCTTTGAGCAGATGATAAGTAAGCAAAGACTTGAGATACAGGAATTAGCCGTGTAGATATCCAGGGGGAAGGGACTAGGAACAGCAAGGCCCTAAAGTGAGACTAAGTCCAACTACACATGTAACAGCAAGTGGGCGTCTTGGCTGGAGCAAGGCGAAAAGTGGGGAGAGAAAAGGAACCAAACTGTGTCACGCTGTAAGAACATTTTACTCTTAGTGATGTGGAAGCCATAGCAGAACTTCTTTCAGGGAAATGCCATAATTTGTTAAAAGGCCCACTTGGCTACTCCATTGTATGGGAGAAGGGAGCATCAGGGAGAACAGCACTGAGGATCTTACGGTGACTCAGGCAGAAGATGTGGGGGCTTGGACCAGGAGCAGTGATGGAGAGGGTGAGAGCGGGTGGGTTTTGGACATGTTTGAACATAATTTGAGATATTTTCTGAGAGGTTGGAAGTGAGAATTCAAGGTAAGAAGACTGTTCTTTTTTTCCCATTGAACTTTTATAAAAGACCCCCATGCCTTATCGAAACAGTCTTATTTCATACACAGTCTTCTAAAAGAAATTTAAAATTCAAAATTAGTAAATGAAATGGTATATAAAAGTTAAGAATAAGTAGCAATTATTTCCCACAGTATGCTACACCAGCCCTTTTCCTATCATAGAAATTAAAATAAATATTTGCTTTAAAACACACTACCACAGCTCATATCTTAAAATTTACCATTTTGTTAAACACATACACAAAGTTTCTGAAATTTCATAATAAAGAAATTAGGACTGGAAAAGGCCTTAATTTAAAAGCTTTAAAGCACATTTAAAGAAAAATCAAGGAACAAAATTTAACCATATAGTAATCATAGGAGACCATTTTGACTCTAGTTTTTTGGTATCTTCCCCTCCTTCTGCTCCTCCTTTTTTTTCTCCATCCTTTTTTCTTCCTTCTTTTTCCTCCCTCTTTCCCCTTCTCTCCCTCCTTCACTCTCTTCTTCTTTCTTTTTCTTCTCCTTTTCTTTTGGTGGTACTGGGGCTTGAACTCAGGACCTACACCTTGAGCCACTCCACCAGCCCTTTTTTGTGAAGGTTTTTTTCTAGACAGGGTCTCGCAAACTATTTGCCCAGGCTGCCTTTGTACCGTGATCCTCTTGATCTCTGCCTCCTGAGTAGCGAGGACTATAGGTGTGAGCCACCAGTGTCTGGTTTCTCCTTCTCCTTCCCTTCTTCCTCCTCCTTCTCCCCCTTTCTTCTTCTCCTCCTTCCCTGAGCACCTGCTAACAGCCAAGAATAGAGAATCTGGAGATAGACAGGTTTTGGAAGGATGATCAGAAGCTCAATTTAGATTATCTAAATTTATGATATTAATTAATATGAAATCAAGTAAGATCCCAGTGTGTACCTTTGGAAGCATCTGGATGATGTTTATAATACTGTACAAATATTTACTGTATTTTCATTTTCTGCTGAGTACCACTACAGTGTGACAAAAAATAAAAAATGAGCGAGCTCACGTTGAATAGCTCGTGCTCAATCAATGGCAGCAGCCCGTGCTCTGACACATAGGCAACAGCAGAATCTTTGTTAGAACCTCCTAAAGAGGTCAGTACTGACTACATTCTGTGGAAGAAACTCAGGTCAAGTGACTTCACTGAACTTCACATGGTTGTAAGGGGCTCTAGTTTATGACTCAAACACACGGTCTACATCTTCAAGTCCTTTTAGGAATCCTACCAGTGATCTCACCACTGAAATACTATGCCTAAAAAGCAGATGCTAACTTTAAACGTGACTCTTTTTAATCCTCAGATTATAATACAAGTGAACAAAAACAAGCCTGCAAGAAACACGAACTCTATGTGAGTTTCCGGGATCTGGGATGGCAGGTAAGTACTGCAGTCAGCTGGGGTGCTTCTTTTCTGTCTTATGATAAATCCTCAGTAAGTCATAGTCTTGGTCAGTAATTTCCCAAATAATCATTTTTGAATTACCATTAGGTATGTGGGTTATACACATTCTTTTCATTTCTCTACTATTTTCTCACCTTTGAAATATGATTAGTAGGAAAAATATCTGAGAAAACACAGCTCTGTCATTTAAATATCCCAAGCTTTTAATTTTCTTACAATCAGATTTGTTCACATTGGAACGAACTCCTACGTTAGCCCCCCCAGTGATCCCAAACTATCAGTCTAGGAAGTAGAACTGTAAGCTGCAATGTCTCTGTCATGATGTAGATTTACCAAAAGATATTTCCTTTCAGTTTAAAATCATGTTACTGTTTGTTATATATGCTTTGCAAATAAGGTGGAGAATTTAAGCAAAATAGTTTTTAATAGTTCCTGTGAGAATCGTTTAAATGAAGTTTTTGGATTTCTTCTAATATCCCATTACAATGGATTTTCACTATGTGACCTGTCCTACACAGAAATAACATTAAAACATAAATGTATTTAACTTTATGATAATTTTTCAACGTGGATAATTTGTTGATTCTTATATTTGCACAAACTTTTATTTCACTGGGGGAAAATTGGAGTAACTGTTCCTTGTGCTAACTTTTTACATTTTTCAGGAATTTATTCTTAATTCAGTTCTTAAAAAAAACCCCATAAAGTTAAAGCAAGAATGAAAAGAAAGCAGCACATAGGACAAATATTAAATCTGTAGGAGGCTGTCAGACAGAAGCCAGGAATGAGTTTAAAAAATAATGAGAACTATCTCAATGAAGTTTATCCTCCCGTGCTTTCTGATTCACTGGAACTTGCAGAGGTCATCACTTCCCCTTACGCAGTATTTCGAGTGCTATTTTGTGATCATTGCCTTATGCACACAAACATGGATTAATTCATACTATGAATACCTTACAGAGTCCCCTTGGGAGAAGTTAGAAAAGACAATTTTCTTGTGAAAATATTTATACTTTTGTCGTAGACTTCGATTTAAAATGGAAGAGTATAGGGGAAGCCGAGAAGAATTGGACGAAGAAGATGAACTATGTCTATGTAATCGTTAAGATTTATCTGCCATTACTTTCATGCAAATGATATGTGTCTTTGGCTTTCTCGTTCTCATGCATTTTAGGACTGGATTATAGCACCGGAAGGATATGCTGCGTTTTACTGCGATGGTGAATGCTCCTTTCCGCTCAATGCCCACATGAATGCTACCAACCATGCCATAGTGCAGACTCTGGTATGCTCTGCTTTTGTAGGATTGAAAATAGCTTACAATTCGAGCTATTTTGAGAAGAACAACCATTTGTAATTACCAATTCATTGTCTTCCCAGTCTCCTTTGACAAGAGTTACTTTTGCCAAGGTAACAATCTTGGGTGTAGTCAGGAAATTCAGATTCTTTTAACGAGTAATCCTGACTCCTAATTGAGGAAAGATTTGACTAGGAAAACTGAAGTAACCACATGGAGTAGCCATGTCTCACTGGTTTCTTCAGAGCACAACAGGACTAACCAGATGGGTTCCCAGGGTCTGTTTTTAACTTCAGCAATTCATTAGTAATCACTGTTCAAACATGGAAAAGTAATAGTTGTATGGATTTTATAGAGAGCTTTTGATCTAATTAGTTAAGAATGTTCTGTAACATTCTTGGGTATTATAAAAGTTCTTCAGTGTAATGGGTAAGTAGGAGCTTAATTGCTACTTCTTGATCGTTCTTCCCTCCCTTTTCCACTTCCTTCTCCTTCTTTCTCCTCCTCCTTTTCTGTCTGTAATCTTCAAAGTGAAGCCATCTTTCCTTAGCTCTCACCCACACCCCCGGAAATTTAGCAGTGATTCCATCCCTAGCTACTGAAGCTTCTTTATTTGTGAGCCAGGCGGTAAAATGTAGCCTTCATGTCTCTACTTGCACTGTATCTGATGAACATAGGAAACCTCTTGAGAGTCTGATGTATTTCAGGGTGTGTGACAGAGGGACAATTTCTGGAAGACTAAGTAACAGTCTCTTAGAGGAGACACTGTAAGACACCTCCCCCAATAATTATAATACTCTTAGAATTTGTGAGGGTTTGACTTTGGAACTTTTTCTTTTTTGCCCTCAATTAATTTAAAACTAAAAGGGGATGGAAGATATATCCAAGCTTTTTTCTGAATAAGGACTAGTATTTATGTGTGGACAGATCAAACATTGGAATGACTTGATGCCTGGCATCTCCCTTAACCTCATAAGGTACAATGGGTACTGACACATAAGCAATGCTCATCCATGGCAACTAGAGTATAGGAATTATCAAAACTTTGGGGTGTAGCAAAACAGAAACATAAAACAAATATGAATTTAGCAGGGAGACCTTTATAAAGTGTTCTTCATTTTATGAGGTTACTTTCCTTAGTGCCAAGTGCAAGATACAGATTAAAGAAAGCCCTGTTTAATCTGGGGTGGTATTCCTGGGAGGATGGGAGTAGGTAGGGTCTGCAAGGACATTGCACTCAAACTTCTACAGGTAACTAGAGAGGAATGCCCTTCTTCCATTTTTCAAAGGGGCAGATTGCTGTCTTTCTGTAGGGTTATAGATGAACAGCTGCTCTTGGCTTACAAAGTAATTTCAGTTAATTTCTCAGAAAGTTCCTAACCTCTCTTTGTTGTCATTTCTGTGACTAAGAAGCAGAATTTTCTTCCTTAGACATTTACATAATGGATCAAAGGGCTCTTCAGATTAAGCAATGCTTATTTAATGGCCAAAGTCCTTTCCCAAATATTCCCCCTCACTCTGTTTTCTTTCTTTGTTTGGTTGTAGTCTAGAAGACATTGTTAAAAACAAACATTTAAAAAAATCTGACATGCGGAGACAGGAAGGGGCTAAAGGAATATAACGAATAGGGGTGTGTTTGTTCAAAGTATACTGTATGCACCTATGAAATTTTCACAGTGCAACTCCCCTGTATTATTAATGATAAAATCTTTAAAATATATATATTTACATATATACATACATATATACATATATACATACATCTCTCTGAATTTCTCATCCTTCATCTGTCTATCTACCTATCTGTCGATCATATATCTGAATGAACACGGAAGAAGACCTTTCTTCCTCACTTGTTCAGGAAGTTGGATTTTTTTTCCTGGTGTTGTGCATTCTCCACGTTTGTTCTGTGATGGACACGACAGAAAGTCAGGCGTGCTTTTTGTTAAGGAAAGCATGTTTGCCACTAATATGTTTGAGAAACCATTCCAAGAGCAATCCATTTTGGTTAGAGTGACTGGCCTTGTGAGCTGCCAAGGCCACTGAAACATGAGAGCTATCGATCCTGCATGTGTGGATTGTGGGAGATAAAGATGGTAGGCGCACAAGCTGCATCTGAGATCTGCAGAAACGATTCAGCTTTTAGTTTTGTGAGGACTTAAGGAATTTCAAATCCATGTCAGATCACTTCATTTTTCTTGTTCTTTCTGTCCACATGCAAGCCTCCTATATCACTTCAGCCAGATCATTGTGCAGCCAAGATTCTAAGAGGCTGAATTTGCTTTTTGTAGATCCCTTAACACTCATCAGTGGGGCTTCCTATAAACTCCTCTGGGGCAAGGCCCAAGGTAGGTGGATGGGGGAACCCTATTTTGGCTCCTTGCTCAGTTATTGTAACTCACGGGCAAACTTCCAAAATGAGTGCCAACCCTTTATCTAAGTATTTTGCTTTTCATGAACACAGCTACCTTTTTCTAGTGGGTGGATATTCAATTTGTAAAGTATTGCTTTTGATTTAGCTTAGCTTGCTTTTTGGCATTGTTCTAGGAAGTGGACGGGAAAAAAGAAAGGAAAATGGTATAAAATTCAGCAAATCTGGCAAAAATTTCTATGGAGAAGAGCTGAAATCCTTGCTTTAAAACAAGTACTGGGTTATATCTGGATTTTTATTTCATATAATTTTTATGCTTCTCTCACCATGGAAAATGAAGAGCTGGTGTAACACTTGTGATTTATTGCTTGATCATCCTTAAAAAACAAACTATATATGCAAATCTTTCTAGGATCCAGCTGTGTCTTCATTGGCTTTCACTCATAACTTCCATATCTCCATGATGTAAATAGAAATAGACATTTCAACCAAAAGCAACTATGCATTGGTTGCCATGCTTTTTCCCAGAAAAAAAAGTTCCACTGAATATTCCAGAGAGTTTACATATCTCATAGGCTGCATTTAAGGCCCCAATGGTTAATTAGAACTGGTGGTTGATTCTTGGTGTTAATACTTACAAATATACCCTTCACTACCACCAGCCTCCACCCCACCCCAGCCACCCATCAAACATGAATAGGAGAAGGGCAATCAGATAAAGGTGCTGGGTTGTGAGTGATAAAACAAGCATATTATCTTAAAGATGAGAACAAAATGTTTGTTTTACCTAATTCTTAAAAAGATTTTGTTCTTTTTCAGGTTCACCTGATGTTTCCTGACCACGTTCCAAAGCCTTGCTGTGCTCCAACCAAATTAAATGCCATCTCTGTTCTGTACTTTGATGACAGCTCCAATGTCATTTTAAAAAAATACAGGAATATGGTTGTGCGCTCATGTGGCTGCCATTAATCCTAAGTGATTCTGGTAGTGATGATCTGTATGAAAGTTTATGACAACAATAAAAAGCAGACAAAAGGGGAATTTCCTAAAATTAGTCTGATTCATTTCATCTCTCTTCCTATGTACAATGTTATGTATATAGTCATTTTTATTTATTTAAAGGTTTGTACTCTCCTTGGTAAATCTATTTTATAGGTCACTACGTTATATAACAGATCACTTACTCTTAACTTTCAATTGGTTAGCCTGATCTGATTCTATTTCAATATTTCTTCCCACTCTGATTTTTATATATTTTTCTGAGATTAAACAGAACTCTTTTGACTGTTTAATATTGCTGAAGAATATTGAATACACTTGGTTATATCGTGCCAAAGAAAACTATGATAGGATATTTATTTAGAAATAAAACTTTAAAAAATAGCAACTGAAACAAAAGAATGCTTGGATAAACACAATTTTTCATTGAGGGTTTCTGCTTCATTAGATAAAGTTGAACTGGGTTTGAATAAGCAAATGGTAGGCAGAGCATGGAAGCTTAAATATTGCATATAATTGTTACAACTGTTTGCTTTGACAGAATCGGTGTAACCTTAGGAGCAAGTTCCTTCTTGGCTTGTGGACTGTACATTTTGCAAGGAGCTCAAAGCTTCAAGAATTCTGCAGAGGCAGGATTGAGCCTGTATCCATAACTTTCCAAGTTAACATGAAAAAATTGTAGTACAACCTTCTTACCTCAAATAAATCATGTCTGCCCATTTTCTAGAACACTACTGCTGCAGATTTTTTTTTTCAGATTGAAAAACTGAGTCCAAAATAAAGAAACATTTACACGTGCCCCACTTCCCTCCCGACAGACAGGAGTCACTGCGTGCTCACAATGAGCTGGAGGAGATCCCTACAACTCCTTTCTTTAGCTCTCTTTTATAACTGAGTTTGCTGATTGATGTGTGATGCAAGAAGTTTTATTTAAGGAAAAGCACTGAAACTAAAAATCCCAGAATGGCTTCGACAGAATTGACATTTAGAAAGAACAGCTGAAAAACATTTTTCACACCTTTGAGAATGAGCTCAATGAAAGCCTTATTTTGTAAAGGGATTTTGTAAACCTTCCTGCAAACACAAATAATTCCAATAGGGAAGGTTTGTGTGTGTGTGTGGATGTATCTTCCCTCAGAAATTAATTTATTTTCTCTCTCTGTTGAAATACCCTTCAAAGGCCTATGTTAGCACACTGACTTGTTGAATATGTAACTTGTTATTTAGATCAACAACTTGCTCTTATGGTTGCTTCCTGTTAGCTCATTTACTACTCATTCAAAACTGTCTTCTAATCACTCTTTTGGATCTTTCATAAAAAATTATATCAAGAGTGGCTTCAAAGTTATTATTTGTTTTTATAATTCAGGTATATTTCAATGTTGTAAAACTTATAGAATATATGACATTAATTATATGGGGGGTTACATTAAGTAATATATTTTCAGTCAACAGTGTACCATGTAGAGAACAAAAATGGAAGTCTATTATATTATTCTTTAAATGTGCTGTTTAAATATGTTTCTATATTTTAAAGTTATTAAACTCATTATGCTCAGTTATGCTCTGCTTCTTGATCTACTTCATTTAAGAGAGATATAAAATGTCAGTGCATCCTAAGCTGTGGATAGTTATCAATTTTAGATGGTTTCCGGATTACATGATTCATTATATTGTTTTTGATTGCCAAAACTGGTTTTGGAAATAATTAACTCAGTATTAAGGATAAAGCACCGATCCAGGAATCACAGATTTTCTTCATCTGTTCAAACCACAGAGAAATACCAAAAATGGCAAAAACAATGAAGATGGAAAAATACCTTATTTGTTACTTTTCGTATACAAACAAGAAATGAGAAGAGAGAGAACAGCATCAGTATTTTTACATTTTATAAAATTATTTTTATATATGCACATATACTCAGGGATGTTATTCTCAAATAAGTATTATTACACATTCTTATTATTTTGGCAATAATCAAGCTATTACCAGAAATCGGAATAATTTGGCCTTTTTAACAGATGAAATTCAAGTCTTTTTAGCGAGTTGATCTGGCTTTTTTTGTTTGTTTGTTTACTTGTATGTTTTCTAAAAATTTTCCTGCTTTACATGTGTTTTGTAAAATGGTCCAAATCCATTTTGGAGATAGACAGGCATGAATCTTAAACTCTCAAGCTTTTAAAAACTAAGACAAAAAGTAGTCTACACTGAAAACAGGCAGAAACTGTCTAAAGAAAACAGAAAGGAAATCCAAAATTCCACTGAAGAATAGTCACTTTATAATTCCCGTACCGCCATCATTTCATCTGAGCCAGAGTCCATTGGCAATGTCACAGTCTGGCAAATGTCAACTCAGATGTTTACAGAGAATAATTACCTTAGACTGCAGTACCATTCTGGGCAGGGAAGCCCCTTGCTCCCCACACCAGCAGCAATCTGACTCTTCAGCCTAGTGTCCACTCTCTCATCCAAATCCCGTCACCAATTACTTGTCTTTCTATGTGTTCTCTTTTACATATTTTTGAACTGGAACTTTTTAAAGTTAGAAGTAAAGATACCTTTGCTGATAAAGCTTATACATTGCTAAGTCTACTTGTACACATTTGTGTTTTATCAAATTTAGATAAGATCAAACTACAAAAAATAATAAGCAATGTCAGAATTTATGCTTATTTAGATATGAAACTCTGTTTAAGTTAACAATTACAAAAAGAGCAAAGACTGAATAAATCAACAGTCTGTAGTGGTATTTGCTAAAGGCATTTGAAAGAGATTTCAAAGATAGCAAAATAAAGTGAAATGTAGCTTTTAAATTACAGATTTCATAGACTTTAACATATGTGCCTTAACCTTTGTATGTTATTTTTGACATTAGTAGAGGCAGGTAGCCTAAAACCAAGTCTGAAAGGTCAGCGTATGCTGACATATGAGGAAAGAACACACAGATGTACTATAGTCCCAAATTCTGAAAATTACATGTGAGGGAGAGGGAAAGGGAGAAGGAGTGGAAGAGGGAGAGGGAGGGAGGGGGAGGGAGAGGGAGAGGGTGAGGAGAGGGAGAAACACTTCATAAGAGCTTCAACACTCACTTTCTTGAGACATGATGGTTTAGTTGGGTGTAAGTAGTATTTTTTGGTTCATTGTGCCTACTACTGCATGGAGAAACACAGTAGAACCTATTATAAATGCTCACCTGTATTTATTTCCCACAGGTACCTATAGAACAAACCAAGAATAGACAATTCTCTTACTTGAGCTGCAAGCTCAATGTGATAGCTTGACCAAACAGTAATCTTTACACTTCCTTCAATACACACACACACACACACACACACACACACACACACAGGTGCATGCATGCATGCGTGTGTGTGTATATATGTTTATACGTACACATACATAATGTACATATATTACTTTGAATTATAATTTTAGAAAATACATTTTAAGATTGTGAAAAAACAAAGGAAATTGTCAAAGGCGAGGAATAGAGTTAGTGAAGCTGGAGCACAAGCCTAGGGGAATAAGTGAGCACTGTAGTCACAGGGTACTAGAAGGACACTAGCACTTGAGCCATCCTCAGCTCTTTTTCTTTAGTTATTTTTCAAATAGAGTTTCATGTCTGTGCCCTGATTGGCATGTGCTGCTATCCTCTTGTTGATGCATCTTAAGTGGTGATGATGGGTACACACCACCATGTCCAGCTCTTTTATTGGTTGAGATAGGGTCTCACTGGCCCTGAACCACTATCCTCCTGATCTCCACTTCCTAAGTAGTTAAGTCTAGAGCTTTGTTTCAGTACCAAGCCCTGGGACAGAGCAAATCCTTATGTCATTGCAGGGCAAGGGACCACATCCGAGACCTCCACATAATTCAGGAAATGGTGAGGGCAGACAGCAAGGACTTTTGTCTTGACTCTGAGCCGCAGGAGGAGAATATCACTCTGGGACATTCACATGGGCTTGTCACCAGAAATGTGGGGTGTCTGTGCATTCACTCCCGTGTGTGCTCATGCTTGACCATAATTTTAAAAAGTCTGCCATCAGATTGGAGAATCTAAAAAAGGTAAATGCAAATTTTGTCTGGGGAACCATATCTTCCACCTCAAGGCTGATCCTTGAGGAACAACCATGGAAAGTATGCCAAGCAATGTAAAGTCAAAACAAAAGTGATGCACAGCCAAGGCAACAGTTAAGATATGCTTTCTATACAATGATGAATATACAATTTCATACCCTGTTGAAATCACCATAAGAAGAGGACTAAGGGAGAAAGCACAAAAACAGAAGGTATGAACCAATTTGGGTTATAATACACACACACACAACACACACACATGGAAAAATCACAAAGAAACTCCCTGTGTAGCTATCTTAAACTAACAGAATCCCTTTATAAAAAAAAGAGAACAGGAAGGTAAAACAAGCCTGTCTGGAGGTTAGAATCAGTGGGAGGGAGGAGAATATAAGGAAAGGAGGATGAATATGGTGGAAATATTACGTACTTGTGTATGAAAATGGAAAACTGAGACCTGTTGAAATTATTTCAGGAATGGGGGAGGGGGGTAGATAATGATGGAGAGGGTGAATTCAACTAGGAGAAATTGTAAGAACTTTTGTAAATGTCACAATGTATCCCCAGTACAATTATAATATAATTTAAAAAGTCAAGTGAAAGAACAAAGTGTAGAACCAGACTCATAAAGACCCTGTTTATTCAATTATTGAATATTAGATATAAATGAGTATATTTTATGTGATTTTAAAAAGGAATAAAAACTCAATTGATCATAAAATATTTAAAATGAGGCTGTAGATGTAAGAGAACAAATTTTAAACTTTTTTTGATATGATAAATAGTGGCTCAGTTACCATGGACAAGAGAAATAGCTAAAAAAGAGCTGAAGGAAATTTCTGGAGAGCAGCATTGAGACAGATAAAGAGGTAGGCAGTTTAAAGGAGAGATAAAAGTCTGGATGTAATATCAAAGGAAGTTCCCCTGTTCATATATAAGTATTCCAGG